TTATTTTTTGCAAGGGATTCTTGCAATTTGATCAAGTAAGAACAAGAATTTTCATTTTATAGTGTTTTTTGCAAGGGAAAACGGAGTACAACAAAACAACCGGATCCGGTAATAATTCACTTTTCTGAAGCTTTCGCTAAAAAATAATGAAAATGTAGCTGCGGCCTAGGTTTTGGAGGGGGGTCGCGCACCAGGGGTCCCAACAATAATTATTCTTTAGAAGTAATAATGTTCAACAACAACAACAACAACAGCAACAACAGCAACACCAACCTTGGTGAGGGTGAGGCCCGCCGCGATACCCGGATCGAAGGTGAGCTCAGCCTGGTCGTTGCAGTCGATCAGCACAAAAGAACAGGAGCAGGGGAGCGGGGAGGAGGAGGAGGAGGAGGGGAGGAGGAGGAGGAGGAGGGGAGGAGGAGGAAGAGGAGGCAGCCATGGGCTGCAATTCGCTCCGAGTGCGTCGAGGATGTACGTCGCCGGGCAGCTTCGCCGGGTAGCGCGCCAGACGACTCCTCGGGTCGCCCGGGGGGGGCCGCGCCTCTGCCTGGCGTCTGCTCCTTCGGGGCTTGCCTTAGGTCGGGCGTGTCCTCCTGCAGGGGGGTTTTGGACAAAAGCAAAAATATGCAAAAAAGCGCCCAAATAGTCAAACATACTAGAACAAAAGTCCCCATACGATTTCTTAAACTATGTTTGAATCTTCCTCCTGTAGAGGGACAGGCCCGACGCAAGGCTTGCCGCCGGTGGCGAGAGTTTTTCCATGCAGCCGATTGCCAGACCCGTGCGAGCCCCCTGACAGGAGCTGGGCACACGCATGGCGTCAGCAATACGAAAAAATCAGCAAGACCAGGTGTGAGTGCCACAAGTTCAGGTCTCTCCCACGCCTGCGTAGCCATTCCGATCGAAGTGCGAGGGGGAGGCAGTTCGATCGGGCGAACAAGAGAGGCGGAACAGCAATGATTGGTGAGTAGATGTTTGCTGAAATTTTCGGACGACCCGCTCTGGTACTCCGCCTTTGTCCCTGGCCGGACTGGCTGCTGCGAAATCTTGTTATGGAGCTTGATATTCGTTGTTTCTGTTAATGGTTTGTCAGGGTTCTGTATACCTCTTCGAAGAGACTGGTAGGTCGGTGGGTCGTCGGATCCGGAGTCGGTGGGGTGACGTTCTTCCCGTGGCCCCTGATTGCCGTCCCTACCCCTTATCCCTCTATCTCTCTTTCCAGTTCCCTTTTTACCCCAACTTTCCCCTGCATCCCAATCCCTATCCATATACCTAAATCCGATCCCCCCTCTCCCCCAGAAGACTGCGGTCGAAGGGCAACTCATTCAACGCACCGCCAATATGTATCGTTGTGGGGGGCCTTGACAGATGAATGTGGCATGAGTGCTTGTTGATTTCCTCCGAGGCCTGTATGCCCAAGCCCTATATCCCTGTTCCTTTCCATCTCCCTATCCCGACCCCCTCATCGTGGCCCCCATCATCCTCCCTCCCCTCGTGACCCCAATCGTAACTGTGGAGAGCTCTTTCAGGTCTTCTGCCGCACGGGCGTCGTTTTTCTCTGGCGATCCGCATGCCGTGATTCGGTTCACGCCGCCGGTGTGCGGTGATGGATCGGATCGCTTGGGCCCCTCGCCATCCAGCGGGGCGCGCGTGGCTGCCTACGGTGCTTACACTGGTGTGCCGGGTCTTCATACTCTGTGTTATTTCTTCCTCTTCCCGCATGTTTTGCCGGACTCAAGCGGAAAGTATGTCTATCATTGCGATTGCAACCGGGGGGGTACTTTTCAAAAAGGTGACGGCGCACTTAGCCGTCTCTTCTTTTGACCAGGCGTCCTGGTTCACCACGGGGGGGGGGATCATGCTGACACGCTTGTTAAGCTTGGTGCTCGTCGTCATCCTGTCCATGGAGCGGCAATGGAGCGTCTGAGTGGGTCGCGTATTCTGGTTAAGCACATCAAGAAACATATCGTATTGTGACTGAGTCCGAGCTCGCCTCGTTGATATCCCATCCCCTGCCCAAGTAGTCCTCCCTCCACCTCATCCTTGGTGCTTGGATTTCCCGACGGCTGTGATGATGCCGACCGCGTGAGTCCCACATGAGTTGACATGGTATCCTTATGTACAGCGCTCCAGGTGCGTTGCTTGCTCGGCCTGCAGCCACTGCAAGCTTCAGGTGTGTAGCACCGTGTCCAACCCCTCATGGGGTTGGCCACCTTGTCCCACGAACCGGTGAGTTTGTGCTTTGCAAGTTTTGTGGCTCGCATTCTTCCACAAAACGTTGTTCACATGCACGATCTGTGCCGCGGACGCCCCGAGTCCACCTTAGCCATGCGCAGGCTGCGGAGGTCCTTATCAGGGTCTGGATCCGAAGCTGACATCAGTCCGCTAGTCCGCCCACGCGGTAGAATGGGGCGCTTCAGACAAGGTTTCGCCTTCGAGGGCCGCAGGAGTCGACGCCACTTCCTCTGGCCGAGGGCGGCGGAAGGCCCGCGGACGGCGGCGAACAAGAAAGCGGGGGCGACGCTGCCACCGGAAGCTGGCGGAAGTCATGGCAACATGTTTTTGGGTTCGGTGTTTCGGCACCCGGCCGATTTTGGGAACATATCGCCGTCGCAAAAAAAAATGCCCACCGGGCATAATGGACAACGCGGTGGAGTCTTGGGCGTTTTTTTTATGCCGATGCTTGTTCCCCGGCAACGGCCGCGAACGCAACATTGAAATGGGGGGTTTGGGGGCGGCACCGTCGAAACGATGTCTGTGGATGTGCGTTTGTCGTACGCCAACAGCGGTAGCGGAGGTCTCACCCAGCTTGTCCTGGGCCCCACAGCTCGTCCCCTGATGCTCGGCTCCTGTCTACTGCGCTCCAGCAGCAGAGAAGATTGCCGCCCGAGCGCCTGCCGCTTTATTTTGACTACGGTGCGTCCGGATTCCTCTCAGTGCTCTTGTGTTCGAGTGGCCATCTTGCGGCCCGCACACTCGGATGCAACTCGTGGGGGTTCAAATTCTGACTTTGCCTTGGTGCGAAATTCGGCTTAATCCATACTAATCCGGGTTATTTCGTTTAATCCTGTTCGATCCCGCTTAATCCGGCGTAATCCCGCTTCATCGCGCTTCATCCCGCTGAATCCGGCTTACCCCGCTTTATCCCGTTCAATCCGCGGCCTAATCCGGCGCAGTAGCCCTCCAATCATCGAGCACAAAAGAACCGCCAACCCTAATAACACGATGAAGACGTGGCCTTGCCGAGGTCCCCGTCTTCGCATTCGGTATCATCAGTCTGGGCGGTGTGGTCACATCTGCAGACAACAGACACCCTTATCCCTAATCTTTCTGGCCCTCCTAACTTAGCTCCCCGCACAAAGGGTTAGGGGTCCTTTTTGGGTTAATCAAGACAGGGCTCCGCCTCCGATCTGGGAAAATATGTGGAACGTGAGGGGGAAAACGAAAGCGCAGAAACTACGGGATGTGTGTGTGTGTGTGTGTGTCTACTCATGTGGTCACGGGCCCTCATGTTCTTGGCCGTTCTTACCCTTGCAGAACACGACCCCCTCATCCATAATGCCCTTGGCCCTCCCAGCTCAGCTCCCCGCCCAAAGGGTTAGGGGCCCTCACCTGGCCAACCGCCCACTGGGCGGCTCACTTCCCCCGCGCTCTCTCCGACGAGGGCCTCCCGGCACGGCCGCCTCTCTGCGAGCGCCTTGCCTTCTGGAGGGGCCCGTGCGGGCCCGTCGCTGGGCATTGCGCCCCCCCGTCCCGCGCCCCTGCGATTCGACCCGACGCGCGGCGCAAGACTCGCAGCACCGCAGGGCGTCAGCAGGCCTGGAGCCCTCCTCAGTGGAGGCCCTTGCCACGAAACGCCCTTGCTTGATCGTCAAGTCGGGTTGGCTTCTCTCGAGCCCTGCGTTCGCCGTAGAGCCCCCCCCACTCCCGCGCGGTTGTCGCCCCCGCCGCGGGCCGTCGCGCCGTGCCCCAGTGGCTGCGGAGTTCCCCCCTCCTGGAACTGTTCGGGGGCGCCTTGGCCCCGACCGAAAACAGAAAAGCGAAGCAATGTGGGCCATCATAAGGGGCACTCATTCTGATGTGCGGGGCCCCCCTAACTGATTGATGTCGAAACGCCGAAAAGGAAAGCGCTCACCGTACGAAATCGTGTTGGACACGCGTGTTCGCTCTCCTGGCCTCTCGAGAAGTCGCGCGGGACTCCCCCCCCCCGGGAGCGCCCAGAACCCCCAGGCCGTGTCTCCTGGAGGAACACTTCAGTACAGAGCTCAATACAGCGGAGACCGCTGCCAAGAAACGCACTGCCTGCCTCCAGGGCGCCCTGGGTTTCGCAGGTCTCGAGGGTCTTGTGATGGAGAATAGCGCGACGTCCCCACACCAGAAATATCCATGGACGTCCTGGGGTCTCAGGGCTGGATTTCTTGTGGAAGGTTTCTTGTGGTGGGGCCTCTACTGTATGGACCCCATCTTCCTGCGTCATCTTTCGAGCCAGGCCGATCTGTGAGGGCATCCCTGGGCCCGACCAAAAAGCGCAAACGCCTGGCTCGAACAACATTGACCCTGGCCTTCCAGGCGTCTCCCCTGACCTTCCAGGCGCGCTTTCTCTTGGCGGGAGGCCCGGGCTCTCGCGGACTCTCTGCGGGAGGCCCAGACCCTACGAACAATCAGAGAAAGGCGGTTGTGCCACATGCCCTCCTCCTCCTCCTCCTCCTCCTCCTCCTCCTCCTTCTCGGGCTCCGCTGCGTGCAGGAGCGCATGGGGGTCACGGGCGCGGGATGTTCGGGGGAAAAATCGAGGAGGCGGAGGAGGAGGAGGTGGAGGAGGAGGAGGAGGAGGAGGAGGAGGAGGAGGAGGAGGAGGAGGAGGAGGAGGAGGAGGAGAAGGAGGAGGAGGAGGAGGAGGAGGAGGAGGAGGAGGAGGAGGAGGAGGAGAAGGAGGAGAAGCTCCGCGATCGTCGAGGGGCGAGCGGCCGCCCGGGCGCCCCGCGGCAGACCGCCGGCCAGGTGGGCCAGCGACCCCGCCGGGCCCCGCGACGAGGGCCACCGGCGGCAGGTCCGGCTGAACACGAGGGAGAAGGCCGCGCTCCCCTCGGGCGCGAAGCCGGGGTCGAAGGTTTCGGAGCCTTGCCTCCTCCTCCTCCTCCTCCTCCTCCTCCTCCTCCTCCTCCTCTCCTCCTCCTCCTCCCTCCTCCTCCGTCCTCCTCCTCCCTCCTCCTCCTCCTCCTCCTCCTCCTCCTCCTCCTCCTCCTCCTCCTCCTCCTCCTCTCCTCCTGCTCTTCCTCCTCCTCCTCCTCCTCCTCCTCCTCCTCCTCATCATCATCATCATCATCATCATCATCATCACCTCCTCCTCCTCCTCCTCCTCCTCCTCCTCTTCCGCCTCCTCCCTCTTCCTCCTCCTCGTCCTCCGCCTCCGACTCTGGATCGATGGCTGGTTGGCAGGGGGGCGGGATGGCTGGATGTATTCCCAGACTTCCTCGCGTCGTAAAGAAAATCACTAGGGGAGGTCTTTCGCTATTTTCGGCCACCGGGGGCCCTTACCCGGCCTCCACAAACATCTCAGGATGAAATCCCGGGGAAGGGGTCCAGATCTCCCAGGGTCGACGTTGCGAACAAAAACACGACGCTTGGGGTCTCCACGGTCGGTGGAGCCTGTAGGCCATTTTTGCGGCTCTGGTGGCGCTGACAGCGCCCGAGGCCCAGCAGTCCAGCAGAGCGTTCTGTCTCTTGCTCTCTCCAGTAGTTCTGGAGAGGCCGGTGCAGGTGGAAAGGCAAGCTTCGACTCGTCATGCTTCAGCTTCTCGAGAAGGCCGCCCCCCCCCCCCCCCTTAGCGCGAGCCCGAATCGAGTTTTCATGGGATCCGAGTCCGTTGGCTGCGCGCAACGAGCGGCCTTCGCCTCGGGCCCAAAGGGTCCCCCCTCCCCCCCCCCAGCACAGGCTGGCGCGTTCGGCTGCGCCTCCTCCTTCCCCCACGCCAGCCACAACTAAAAAAGCTGTGGTCCTCACCCCCCTGGGGGACCCCTCGATTTCGACACCCCTCTCGAGAGCTCGTCGATGCGATGGGTTCCCCCATGGGGGGTGAGGACCACAGCTCCCCCAGTTATGGCTGGTCGGCCGGCGGCCCCCTGAAGCCGCGCACTGAAGGTCACTCTTGCGGCCGCGGCTCGAAGGGTTTCGGTGGCCTGAAGGCACGGCTCCCGGCCGCACTCCCACCTGGGAGGCCCTCCAGACCTCGGCGTCGCCGGAGGGGGCCGCACAGCGGAGGCCAATCGGGGCTCAAACGACGGGGGTCCATATGCAGACGGGGGTCAGCCAGAGCGCGGGGTCTTGCCGGATCCTGCAGGGCCAGGGGTGCAGTGGCCGAGGTTTGGGCGCAGGCTCCTGCAGGGTCTTGCAAGGCCTGACTGACCCGGGTCTGGCTTGACCTGGGCCAGCAGATCCCCGAGACTAGAGATTTTTTTATTTCTCTGGCGGGTAACGCTTGCTACCTGGGCCCAGCGCCCCCCCCCCCCCACCCGGGTAACGTTAACGATCGTACGTTTTTTGAGGGTGGAGGGCGGACCCCCCTCCTCTCAGCAGGTATGGCAATTGATGCGTCCATGGCGCGGACGCACCCTGGCGGGCGCACGCCGCGGAAGCCGTTACCGTTATCCGCCGCCCCCCCCCCCCTCCCAGGGTAACAGCCGCTACCCCCTCCCCCCCACAAAAAAGTCTCCTGAGAGCTTGCCGCGCTGAGGGCTTCTGAGGGGCCGTCGTGCTCTGGAGGCCTTCGGTCTGGCTTGGGTCGTGGACAGAAGGCCTCTTCGTGGGCTCTTGGAGGCATCCAGGGGGGCCCCTTTGCGGTTTCGCGGGGGCCTGTTGGGGCCTCTCTGGGCTCGGCGGCTTGCTGGCGGCTTGGAGTGCCATGTGGGAGCGGAGGGCTCCGAGTGGCAGTTCGAGTTCCACCATCTGTGGGCCTTTCTGGGGCTCCTCGATCTCCTCTTAGAGGCATCGGGGGCCCTCGTGGGAGGGTCTTAGGGGGCTCTTTGGGCTGGTTTGGACGGTCGTACGGCTGAAAAGCGGGGAATGCCAGCACCAGACCAAACATCAACACATTTTGTTTCAATCAGTTTGGGCTTCTGCCCAGGCCTCTAACGGAGCCCCTTCGGGCCACCTTAGAGCATGTGTTGACTGCTCGGGTTCCGATCCACCTACCCGAGGCCGCCGAGAACGTCCGGCGGCAGAAGCCCCGAGGTGCGCCAGACACCTCGGGGGTCCCTGGGCCGCAGAAGGGGCACGTGCAACACGCAGAGTGCTGAGAGCTCGACGGCGCCGTAGGGGGGCCTGCGGAGACTCCGCTCGGGGCCTCGCGGTGCGGTGGCGCATTCCAGAGGCCAGCTTGGTGCGAGGGTCGGAGGAGGAAAAGGTACCCATACCTCTACCCTTCGCCCGCTTTCCCCTTTTTGGGGGCCTCCTGGGTGGGAGGCCCTCGTCGCCACCGTTGCATTCGCCTCGAAATTCTGGTCAGAGCTTACCAGTTTGAAGCATATCCCTGTCCCTGTGTTGGGCTCCCGGTTTCTGGGGGCACATCCCTAAGATTGTCCTCGCTTTTTGCTCGCCCATCTTAGGGATAGGGATAAGTTCGAGGCTGGTTAAGGACGCACCCCGGGAGTGGTCCGGGGAATAGCGGTATAGGTACCTTTTGGTTCCCCGAGAGGGGGGGGGGGGCGAGAAGGATCGCAGCGACCAAGCCACGGCGGGTTCGTCCAGGGCCACAGCTCTGCCTGAGGCCACAAGGCTGCCTGCTCAAGGTGGAGGCACCAGGCCTCCAGCACGGCGTAGGTTGGTTCAGGCTGTACCCACCCAGCGGGCATCAGCAGAAACACCGCGAGCAAGGCGATCGTTTTCTTATTCCTTGTTTGGCCGATCGGCGCGAGGCCTCGCACCCCCCTTTCCCCCTCACCCATGGAGTAGGCCTTGGCTGTGTTTGGCGCCTGTGTCAAGCAGGAGGAGTCTCACCCATAGGACGCACTGCTTCGAACAGTGGCAGTAAGCAGAGGGGGAGGAGGAGGAGGAGGAGGAGGAGGAGGAGGAGGAGGAGGAGGAGGAGGAGCAGGAGCAGGAGCAGGAGCAGGAGCAGGAGCAGGAGCAGGAGCAGGAGCAGGAGCAGGAGCAGGAGCAGGAGCAGGAGGAGGAGCAGGAGGAGCAGGAGGAGCAGGAGGAGCAGGAGGAGCAGGAGGAGGAGTTTGGCCCTCCTGACTTAGGTCCCGCCCCAAGGGGTGAGGGGTCCTTGTTGGGCGAATCAAGAAAGGGCTCCGCCTCCGACCTGGAAAGATGTGGGACGCGAGGGGGGAGAAACGAAACCACAGAACAGTGGGGACATGTATGGGATCCTGGGACTCTCGCCTGCTCCTCTGGGTGCCCCTGGGGCCCCTTCCGGGGGAGAGCGCGCCGTGCGCAGCGCCGGCGGGGGACGCTCCCGAAGGGGGGCCCCCCGCGCCCCCAGGGCCGAAGGCGGCATGGCACCAGAGCGCCTCGGAGGGCGGCCGGCGGAGGGCGGCGGAGGCAAAAGCGGGAGCCTCGAGACGGGGGTCCACGCCAACGGGGGTCAGCCCTCCTCCTCCTCCTCCTCCTCCTCCTCCTCCTCCTCCTCCCTCTTCCTCCTCCTCCTCCTCCTCCCTCCCTCCTCCCTCCTTCTCCTTCTCCTCCTCCTCCTCCTCCTCCTCCTCCTCCTCCTCCTCCTCCTCCTCCTCCAGGATCCTGCAAGGCCAACGTCGCATTGGCCCGGGCTTGGGTGCAGGATCCTGCAGGATCCTGCGGAGGATCCTTCGCATTGGCCTGGGCTTGGGTGCGGGGTCGTGCAGGGTCCTGCAGGATCCTGCAGGGCCTGACTGACCCGGGTCTGCGTTGACACGGGCCAGTGCGTTCCCGACAAAGCAGGGGGGCGGCTCCGCCAGCGGGAGCCGTCGGAAGGGAGCCAGTTTTTTGTTTGTTTTTACTGTAATGCAGAGTGGCTCAGGCAGGCTTACTTGCATGGCGTTCGCCCCTGCCCCACCCCCTTCGCCCCTCTTGAGACGAATTCTAGCGTTGGAGAGCTCATTCCCCCAAAACGACCAGAGCCCTCTCAAGCCCATCCGTAAGCCCTCCCGGAGGGGTTCGGGGAGGCATTTCGCAGGGTACCAGGAAGGTTTCGGGAAGGTTCCGATCGCTTTGGAGGAACAGCGCAGTCTTTGGCGAGCCCTGGACTTTCCAATACTAGCGTACAAAAGGGCCTTTTCGACTTGCGTGATCTCCGCACGTGCAACTCGTTGGCGGCTTGCTTCAGGTTCAGCCCCCCCCCACCGGTCCATGCAAGTAAACTTGCCGGAGTCCAAGAAAAACAGGCTCACGGAGGCGGCACCGCCAGCAGAAGCCGGCGACAGGCCCACGGATGCCAGCAGAAGGAGACCATGTGCCTCTCGCGGCTCAGGAGACGGCGTCGTCTACACGAAAGAGTGCCCCTTCGACGGAGTGACTCTTGGTGCGGGCTCATCGGGGTCCTCCCGATCGCTGCGCGCGATGCGATAGCGGCTACTTGCGCGCTTGGATCTGGCCACCTTGCGCCCCCCCCCCAGTCCGCGCACCAATCTCACCCTGGGTCGCTCTTGCGTGTAGCCGACGCGGGTCATGCGAACGGGGGGCAGTCAGAGCGCGTGACTCCTGCGAGGCCTGACTGACCCGGGTGTGAATTGACCAGGGTCAGTGCGCCCCCGAGCCTCGGAAGGTCAACATTTTTGGGCTCAGGGCGTATGGAACGAGCCATATGCTCTTGCAGCGGGCGCTTGGTTCTTGGTGAAATTGCAACGTGGTGCGTGCGTGGTTGGCCATACTTCTCCTAGGGTCTGCGGGAGCCACGTGCTCGTATCATTCTCATTCCCATCGTTGTTCCTGACGCGATTGCGCCCTCATCTCATGGCGCTAGCACTATCTCGCCGTCGCTCGCAGTTTTCTCCGACCTTCTGTCATAAGTCCACCGGTCACGTGGGCGCCGGCACACCTATGAACTCAAGCTGGAGATCCCGTGGCCGGCGGGCTGGGGAAGCTCCCCGATTTCTGCCAGATCCGAGAGAGGGGCCCGACGTGTTCGTTGGTAAGTCTTTGGTGAGGGACGGCCTTGCCGACCCCTAGCACGCCATCCCCTTCCGTGAGGTCCCCCTCGCCTCGCCCCAAGACGCATGCACGCGGCCGGAGGGGAGCTTGAAGCCAGGATGGCGTCACAAAAGACGATGGCTCGCTGGGGGTCGGTTGGGCCGCGCCCATTTCTGGGCGCGTGCAGCTCATACACCACCCACCAGGTAGTGCCAGCTGGTCTCGACAGGCCCCCAGAGCAGCCCGGGGCGGTCTCAACACCTCGGCGCCGCCTGCGGCGGCGCACTTGGGGCGCTCCGCGCCCCCGGCTGGAGGTGTGGAGGCCGCCTCGGGCTATCCGGGGTGAGGCCAGCCGGGACTTCCTGGAGGGGGTCCTGCGCGCAACACAAGGCGGTGCTGACCTTCGTGTTCCTCGCCCTTGCCTTTTCCAAGAAAAGCTGGCGCGGCGAGCTCATGGTCATTTTGCCCCTCACCCCGTGCGCCCTCGTTTTTTGGGGGCGGAGGAGGTTGCCGCGACCGCAGGTGCGGAAAGAACTGGGGCTGGAGTTCTTCGGGCAGCCCGCCGGCCAGGCCAAGAACATGCCCCCGGCGATGAGGATGCTGGCGGCGAAGAGGAGGACGAGGAGAAGGAGAAGGATCGATGGTTCAAACATGGGGACCTGAGGGATAGGTTCCCAAGGACGAGATGCCCCAAACACTGTAAATCCACCCTTGGACCCCCTCCTATCCTTGGGACCCCCTCCCTCAGGACCCCATCTTTGAACCACTGCGAGGAGGAGGAAAAAGAGGACGGTCACGAGCGAACCGTCCTTTTTCACAGTGGCAAAGCGTCTGGGGCTGGCAGGCCAGGCGGGCGCCCGGGCCGTGGGCCAGGCAGGCCGCGGGCCACGCGGCGGCGGCGAAGGGTAGCCCTCTTCCCCTCCCCCCCCTTCCTGTTCCCATGTGCGTTGCCCTGAGGGATTCATGGTTGGACTGACGAGAGAGAGAGAGAGAGAGTGATGTCGCAGACCGACGTCTCGTCAATCGCTCATCCGATGTGTGGTGCGCGGCCCGCCGGCGGCACTGCTAGCTGGCACGCTCGCTGGAACGTGTTGCTGCTCGCGCCGCGCGGGCACGGGTGCCGCAGCAGGCTTAGCTTCGTGGCCGAGGTCGCCGAGCTCTCTTCGACGCGACGCGTTAGGGCGATCGGGGGCCAAGCGAGGATTAACACAACGAGTGGGGACGAAGAAGAGTAGGCTTCGAAAGCACACCAGCGGCACGAACATCGGATGCCGAAGGTCCGCGCGGATCTCTTGGTCGGGAGCTGGTCCCCCCTCTGGCGGCGCTTCTGGCGCCGCCCCCTGGCGAGCGGGGTCCAGCGCCGACCGAAGAGGTCTCTCTCTTTCGTTTTCTTTCCCTCTTCTATGTGTCCCGCCCTCTTGTTGTCCAGCGACCGCCTTCGTTCGGGATGCATATTGAAGTTTTGCTTCAGGCGCTGGCGCCTGCACACTCCTTTTCGTCCTCCAGATGCTGGGCTTCGCGTGTCCTGGCATGCGGGCTCTGGGCAGTCTGCTGCCGAGCTCTATCGCTGTTTCCTGATGGTGTCTTTGTGCTTTCCGTTTGTATACAGCCCGGGTCTTTGTCCCTGGACCCTGGCCGCTGGACCAAGTGCCCGCACATCGCTCGTCACAGCCGTTCTCGCCGCCCTGCGCATGTTCTTATTGGTTGTTCCGGGTGTATATATATATATATATATGTTGTTTTGTCTATTTCTCTCTCCTTCTCTCTCTCTCCCCCTTTTTTTTTTTCTCTCTCTCTCTCTCTCTTTCTACCTCTCGGTCTCTCTCTCTCTCTCTTTCTCCGTTTCTCTCTCTCTCTCTCTCTTTGTCTCTCTGTCTCTCTTTCTCTCTATAGACCTGTATCGATTTGCCCTGCCTGTTCGAGGCCCCCCCCCTCAGTTTGGCCGGATGAGAAAATCATGTTGACGGGTGTGGAACGAAAGTGGAAAAACCAGAGGCGGTAGAGGAATAAACGGTTGAAAGGAGAGGAAGACCCGTGTTACCCCAACACCGATCAACGATGTCGCAATAAACCTTTCCTTCAAAAACCATGTTCGTAGGTCCTTTAAGCAATGCGTGCTCCACTGCGGAAAATGTTCTATTGGACGACAATCGGTGGATAACGTGATGAAGCAGTGGCATTAGCACCCCAACTCTGCGAATCAACGTCGTTGTTGCGTCCTGGTGCTCCTAAACCATGCCAGGGCAACATTCCCTGCAACTGACGCAACCCAGCAACATTCCAACTATACGAACCCAGCAACTGACGCAACCGTCTAAGGCGATTGTGCGCGGTGCTTCGGCGAGAATCGCAATGCGAAAAAGAAGGGCACTCCACCAGTGAGATTGTGGCACGTTTTGCGGCAAGTGTTCGCGGTGCCACGGCGAGCGCAGCATTTTGGCAAGGACTTGTCCTCCATCCTTAAAGCGGCTGCACCCTGTTAAGACGATTGCGCGTGGCGCCTGGGCGAGTGCCGTCTATGTGTGTATGTATATATATATATATATATATATATATATTGCGAAGGCCTTACGGCCGGTGCCGCCGACCCTGAATGGCGACGACGACGACGACGACGACGACGACGACGACGAGCGCTCTTGGGGGCCTCTTGGGGGTAGTTTGTGGGCCTCTTGGGAAGCTCTCAGGGGCCGCTTGGAAGCCTCGTGGGGGCCTCTTGGGGCTTCCTGGGGGTCTCTTGGAGGGGGCCTGGGACGTCTTGGAGGCTTCTTGGACGGTCTTGGGGCTATCGTGGGCGTTTTCGGCCGATCTTTGGGCGACTCGGGGCCCTCTTGGGCCGTCTCGGGGGCCATCTTGGGCATTCGGACCTCATTTGGAGTGTTTTCGAGGTTTCTAGGCCGCCCGAGGGAAAACGAATCTGCCCCCCCACCCCCCCCGGGACCCCCCCCCCACCCCCCCCGGGACCCCGGGACCCCCCCCCCCCTGGGGAAGGGATCGAAGGGAAGGGGCTGCCCTTCGACTCGATTACGACACTGCTAGATTTTTCTCTCGCTGCTCACGAGCTTGAGAAGGAAGCTGCAGGGAAAGGGGACGACGGAGGCGACGACCGACGAAGACGACGACTCGAACAGCCAAGCCCCCCGCACACGCCGACAGGGTCGGCGGATATATTAAGCAGCCGCCCTCCACCCCTGAGGCTCTTGAGAACTTGTACGACGAAAGTGCGCGGCGCTAGGGCCAGATCCACATGTTGAAGAGGCGTTGCCCTCCATGCGTAGAGCTGCTTCAGGATCATCGAAGAAGCCTCAGGCGGAACGATCGACCCGCCCTGCAGACACGCCTGGGAGTGCGACGTCGAGGAGTTGATCATCAGGAAAAGGAGTGGGGGAGACGCAAACGGAGCCAAGAGGAGATGGAGTAGGGCGAGAGGTAAGAGGAGAAGGACCTTCGGACCTGAGCACCCGCAAGGTGAATCACCAGGGGGCAGAGGAATCTACGGCCAAGTAGGTGGATCATTGAATGCGGGCGCAGCCATCCAGGTCAGGATGCGCGCAGCAGGGCGCAAGCGAGAGAGAGAGAGAGGCAAATGTGAGCACTCACTTTTGCGCGCTCTTGGCGATCTTGACCCTCTCGCCGAAGGCCGCCAGGGTCGATCGTGGTGGAGTTCGCCGACGTCAGCGTCGTTGGACTTGCCTCGCTCCGCGCAGGCCCACCGCTGAAGTTCCTGCACTCCTTGCTGGTGTGCCTTCAAGGCGTTGGTGTAGTCCTCCACGTCCTCTCTGCATCGGCGTCTGGTTCCACCGACTGCATGGGCGTCTGGTTCCACCGGCTGCAGGGCGGGGCTGTGGAGAGGCCTCACTCCGCAAGGCAGGCGCTCACCACGTGCAGGGTCCAAGCTGTCGCCCTCGCCTGGCTAAGGCGACGGGCCTGGCTCGGTTTGCACGCCCTTTCCGCATTTTTTGTTGAACGACATTGTGGTGCTAGCCGCCGTGTCGCTTGCAGTGGTGGGCTCAGCAGGGCCCACCTCTTCTTCGATGGTTTCGCTCGAGCTCTCCTAGAAGTCGAGGCTGTGTTCGCAGCCTGGCGCATCAGGGCCAGAATTTTGCACCTCGGCTTGCCGGCAGGGCGGTGCCAAAGTGGCTCACGTGGCGGCTCGCGGGGGCAGCGTTACAGCAGCGCCCTTCTCCTCGAAGCCGTCCACGAAAGTGTGCTTCGCTTTTATGTCGAATGCGAGGTGCTGGCACCTCGAGCGCGCCTGACCTGTTTTGTCGGCTCCGCTGGAGTCGTCGCCGGTAGCTGTTTGCCACACTTGCACGCGTGGCCCATCTTCTGGAGGCGGCCCTGGTGTCCTGGTAGATCATGTTGCCGCGAGCGGTGCATCAGGATCCTCACCCTGCTCTTCCTCTTGGGCCTGCTGGGCGGCCTCGCCGCACTGCTGGCCGCCTTGGCGGTGCTCGCCTGGCCACGCCTTGGCGTGGCCGCTTCGGGCGCCATGGCCCGGACGCTTCGTGCGAGCATACTTCGTTGCCCTGCTGCTTGCTCGGGCTCCAGTCGTGGCCTCCGGGCAGGGCTGCTGGCCCTGGTCTGCCGTGGGTGCACCAGCTCCGCCTGCCGATCGCCATGGTGGCGGGCTGGGCTGTGGCCTGACGCTGGGGTGGTCGTAGTTGGACGGTGGTCCCCGCGGGGTGGGCGAACGGGAGCCGGTTTCCCTGCACACCGTGCGTCCACCCCACCCGCTTCGATCTCCAACGCTGCAGAACCACGCTGGCCTCGCGACCACCCTTTCGGGGTGGACTGCGAAGACAAGCAGATGAGGAGGCGAGGGAGCAGGAAGAAGAGGAGGAGGAGGAACGGGAGGGGCGGGAGTTGGAGGCAGGACTGGGTGGATGCGGAGGATGATTGTGACATGTGGTTGGAGACACCTTCTGAGCTAAGCCGGTCAACGACACTCAGGTACCCTATTTATTTTCAGTATTCCAACAGACAAGCCAGTTTGTTCACGCCTTCGTCGTGCACTGCACGCGGATGCGCTTCGCACGCTTTCCTGCGAAAGCGCTTGCACACAATATTGCAGCTTGCAGTGCTTGTGTGTTTGCTACTGGCGGACTGCCTTCTCGGCCTTTTGCCTATTGTCAGGTGTAGCGTCTGCTCTTACCGGTGTGACAACTAGTGTGTCTCGAACTTTGGTAGTCCCCAAACGTGGTGGTGACAACACTTGGCGGTGAGTCTCGGGCGATTTGGTGTCACCACCCGGTTTGGGGACTCGTGCGGTTTTCCGAGGATGTCCCAGACACTGGTGGGTCCAGGAGTCACAAAACCCGGTGGTGACCCCGCGTCCCCAAACCCAGCGGTGACCTTTTTGGAGATTTCAGGTCGCCACCTGGTATCACACCGCCCGGTTTGGAGGTTCCCAAGAACTGGAGACTGCCGTGTCGCATCGTGCGGAGCTGAGTTCGCCGCTCGGTGTCCCTGGACTGCCCGGCCGATGCCTGCACGTGCGCTGGTGGCCCGCGACTACAGGTGTGCCAATGGCGGATGCGGATGGCTGTGCTGTAGCTGCGAGGGGCGGAGCATTCTGCGGGAGCGCAGAAGCAAGCACCTGCAAAGAGTATGCCCGTCTGTCTGTCTCGCAGGGTCTCTCTCTCTCTCTCTCTCTTTTTATCTCCCCCTTCAGTCTCTCTCTCTCTCTCTCTCTATATATATATATATATATCCGTATGCTTGTAGTTTCTCTGTGTGTATCTCTGTCTCACTCTCTCTCTCTTTCTTTTTCTTCGCTTTCTCTTGCCTTTGGTTGACCCGGTTGTGTTAGTGTTTTTGTTTGATAGTTTCTCTCTCTCTCTTTCTGTTCCTTTCTCTTTCTCTGTCTCCCCCTCTGCTCTGTGCCACCATTGGGCCATAGCCCACCCCTAGAAAGGGACGTCGATGTGTGCGCCATCGGCTCTTCTGCGCGCCAGTTGCAGATTCCCGCTATACGCGCTACGTGCGGGCACCCCAGGGAGCTACGTATCATTCTGGGCCACCTGGTGCATCCTCGCGCGCGCCACCCAGGAAAATCCACGTCGCTGCACCTTGCGTGCCATCCAGAGTCTGTAGGTGCTGCCTCTTGCGGGCGCGCGCAGGCCAGATATGGTCACATCTTCTGCGCGCTTTGCCAGGGACCTTTGCTTTAGTGGCGTTGCACACGCGTTTGCCTGGGTGCATCGGAGGGGCCCTGAAGAAGGAACCCTTTTTGTTGGGGAGGGGCTCCGTGTTCCTTAGCTGCTTTACAGTGCTCCTTGGGTGTTCCTTATGTTTTCGATCGGAAATCGAAGCTTAACTCGAGGAAAAGGGGCCTCGTTCCTTATTTATCGTTCCTTAGATCAACGCCCCGACTGTACACACCACGTCTATTGGTCGGCCAGCGAGCCACGGAATTCGGCAAAGGCTTTCGGTGCGTAGCCGTTCCAGCGTCCCGCGGGTTGCGCAGTGGGGGCGTCCACACACCGAGGCCTCTGGCCGACCAAAATCGACGTGGTGTGCACACCGGGCGCCTCCCAGTGCACTGGCATGCAGAATGGCATCGTGTGCCCGTGTGTACAGTCGGGGAGTTGACCTAAGGAACCCTAATCAAGGAACGAGGCCCCCTTTTCCAATAAGTTCAACTTCGATTCCCCATGGAAAACCTAAGGACAACCCAAGGCAAACTGTAAAACAATCAAGGATTACCGAGCCCCTCCCCACCGAAAAGGGTTCCTTCTCCAGCGCCCCGTCTGTATCTGCCGCGCCAAGCGGTAGCATTGGGCATCGCAATGCGGCTCAAGCGACGGTGCGGGGTGGTTGCCTTCCGATGCTGGCCGCGTGCGTGGCACCGGCTATGACAGCCTCGAGCAGAGGGCCGAGCGCATGGGACGTTCCGCTCCTCGGCCTTCCAGAATTTGATGTTCGATGCCTCAGCCCCCTCGGGTGCGAGGCTTCGATCATGAGGCCCCACGAGTCCGATTCAAATTTTGAAGGCAATAGGCAAGGGGCGCAGGACGGCGCCCGAGGAGAGCGAAGGGAATCTGGATGTCGCGTTTTACGATCGGCACAATGGGATAAGGATTGAGAACGAGGGAGAGAAAGAGGAGGAGAAGACGGTCGAGGGCGATGGGGAAGACGAATATGAGAGGAAGGAGAAGGCGTGGAGAAGGACAAGGGAAATATGGAACCAAAGTGATTTCAAGCAGTGGTAACTCTTCAGGAGGAGCAGGAGCAGGAGGAGGAGAAGGAGGAGGAGGAGGAGCAGGAGCAGGAGGAGGAGGAGGAGGAGGAGGAGGAGGAGCAGGAGCAGGAGGAGGACGAGGAGGCGGAGGAGGAGGAGGAGAGAGGGCGAGAGAGCGGGCGAGAGGGAGGGTCAGGGAGATAGGGGATTGGGGAGGGGGGGTGGGCAGAAGGAACAGAGCGAGAGAAACGGTGCCTCGTCCCCCCCCCCCACCACCCCCCACGCACACACGCACGCGCGCCCGAGCAGGGCATCGTACTTGTTCCGCGAGGCCGACAAGGCGCGGCTCGAGGAGGGCTCGGCGCGCGCAGGCACCTGCCGCGCCCGCGCGGGAGGCGGGAGGCGGAAGGCGCCGTGAGGGGGCATCGGGGGGGCCCAGCAGCTCACGGGCAAGCCCGGGGTGCAGAGCGCAGGGCTCCGATGCCCCGGCGGCGGGAGCGCCTCGCCGCCGCCCCGCCCCGCACTTCCAGCCGCGCGCGCGCCCGGGGCGGCCAGGCGCCGGCGCCGGCGGCTGGGCACCCCGCACTTGGGCCGCGAGCGGCTGCGCCGCGCTGCCGCGCATGAGCGCGGCGTCAGAGCTTTTTGTTTGTTTGTTCCGTGTACAATTTCAAGGCATTAATGCTTATGGATATAAAAACGTGCAAGTTTACTTGCATGGCGTTCACCGCCTTCGCCCCTCTTCAAACGAAGACTGGCGTGCAAACGCCTTTCCCCCCCCGTCCATGCAAGTAACTTCGCTGGAGCCTTAAAAGAAAGCAGGCTCTCACATGGGCGAAGAGAGGCGGGACTATCAATCAGTCGGCAATCTCAAGGTAATTGAGCTCCCCGCAGGGAGCACAGCCACCACGAAGGGCTTGTGGGCCAACGCGCAGGGTCAGCGGGCCAGTGCTCTCGATCCCGGGATGTGCCAGCTTGCGCGAACGCGCCTCTCGGCCCCCCAGTCACCCAGAGGGACCTGGGCTGGCGGGGCTGGCGCGGCTGGCGCTGCGCTACCGTCAGGGCCTGCCCTACTTGGGCGAGCCTCGCAGTCCTGCCATTCCCTGGGGTCCGCTCCCTCCGAAGGAGGGAAGCGCGCTGGGGCGGTCGGAGCGGGCTGGGCAGGCTCGGCTTGTGCGGAAGGGGGCGGAGAAAGGTGGAGATGGGAGGGGGCGAGAAGAAGGAGGAGCAGGATGATGACCAGTGCAAACCCAGGATTCATCAACGATGTTGAAATACACCCTTCCTCCAGGATCCTTCTTCATAGGCCCAAATGCTGTTGTCAGAATTTCGCGCCACGAGTTAACCTGACTGTTACGTCTTGGCGATCCTGAATCGTGCCAGAGCACGATTGTGGGGACTCCGACACCGCGAATCAACGGAACTGTTGCGCCCTGACTGTCCTGAATCGCTCCAGCACGCCATTTCTGGTAGGTTAACTATGATAATCAAAGAAACTCGTGCAAATGTTTAAGACGAGTGTGCGCGGCGATACGTTGAGAGCCACGTTTTGACATCGACCTGCCCTCAATCCGTGTAGCTCTTGTCATCTTGTAAAACTAAGGTGAGCGGCGCTAGGGCGAGAGCCACATTTTGAAAACCATCCGCGCTCAATGTGTGAAACCTTCTTGCAAATGTTTCAAACGATTGTGAGCGGCGCCAAGGCGAGAGCCACATGTTGAAAACCACTCGCCCTCAACCCGTGAAGCTCTCTCGTTGTTTAAATGAGAGAGTGAGCGTCGCTAAGGCGAGAGCCACATTTGAAAACGAACCTCCCTCAATCCGTGAAGCCCTTGCATTTTTTTAAAGAATGTGCGCGGGTCTAAGGCGAGAGCTACATGTTGAAAACCGCCCGCCCTCAATCCGCGAAGGCCTTGGAGAGTTTTGTGCGCGCGGGTCGAAGGCGAGAGCCACATTTTGAAAACCACCCGCCCTCAATCCGTGAAGTTCTTGCTCATTTTGAGACGACTGGGCGTGGCGCCAAGGCGAAAGCCACATGTTGAAAACCACCCGCCCTCCATATGTGAAGCTGTTGTCACTGGTCGATTATTAGGATCATACGTGGCGCGGAGGGTTCAAGCGAAACGCCCGGCCCGCCCTTTCGACCAGCCTCGAGGCGCGACAGGTAGGAATTATCGATAAGGAAAAGAAATTCAGATGGAGGGGGAGGAGGAGGAGAAGGAGGAGGAGGAGGAGGAGGAGGAGGAGAAGGGCGAGGCTGAGCAGAAGCAGCCGCAGAAGGGAGAGGAGGAAGCACATGGGGGAGGGGCGGGATGCACTTTGACTCTCGCGTGGGACGCCCCCGGCGCCGCGCAGGGGAGCCCGAGGCAGCGCGCCTCTGCCGCCAGCTCTCCGAGGCTGCCCGTGCCCGCGAGCACGCGCTCTGCCGGGCCGGGCGGCGGCGTCCACGCCGCCCGCCGGGCGGCACGGCGCGCGGCGGCGCCGCGCCCGAGGCGAGCAGGCGGCGCACCCCGGCCCGCAGCGCGCACTGGACAGGTCGCAGCTCGCCAGCAGACGCGCCGCCCCCCCCGCTCCAGGTCGGGCCGAACGAAAGGGGGGGGGGCAGGGAAGGGGCCCTGACCTTCCAGAGAGCTATTTTTTGGCACGGGAGGCCTAAAAATCAATAAAACGATACGAAACAGCCTGAAACCAAGACGTAGAATCGCTCTGGGATAGGTTTTTAAGTCCGGTGCCATTTTTTTGCCCTCCTGGAAGGTCAGGGGGGGGGGGTACGAAATCTGCTGCATGCAGCTGGTTTCGGCCCCGCCGCCGGGCCCATTCCTCAATATACGTGGGCGCCTCCCGGCGCCGGGAGGCGCCGGGGAGGGCAGCTACGCGTGAGCTGATGCTCAAGCCCCCCCTTGGCTATCCCCCCCTTTCGCCCGGCCCGATCCAGGTCGCTGTCCTGGCAGCTCCGCCGTGACACGCGCCAAGCACCAGGCGCGACGGACTCTCCACTGGGCCTGGCCCCAGGAGGCCCACCACCACAGCGTCCCCAGCCCGCGCTGGACGCGGGGGGAGGACAGCCGCGATGGGCGGCGGGGTGGCAGAGGACCGCGCCCGACGCCGCACCTCCCCCCAGAGGTCCGATTCTCCAGCTTGAAGCATATCCAGATCCTTATGTTTGGCATCACCTGACTCGGTGCCGATCTTACTAGGGATTCCGTCAGTTTCTGAGGGCACATCCCTGAGATTGTCATCGCCTTGGGCTTGCCGATCTTAGGGACAGGCGAGGCTGGTTGCCGATATTTCGTTTATCCATACGCGGTCCCCAGAAGCAGCCGATGTTCGACATTTCTGGGGCCCGGCGAGGACCCCCGGCGGCCGAAACTGGCAACAACAATTAGGGCGTGATTTTCTCCAGAGCCTGCATTTTTTAGACCCCGGCAAGTTTACTTGCATGGAAGGGGGAAGGGGCCTGAACCTGAAGCAAGCCGCGACCTGCACGTGCGCAAATCACGCAAGTCGAAGAGCACTTGCACGCTAGTATTCGCTTGAAGAGGGGCGAGGGGGCGGGGGTGGAGTGGGGGGAGGGGGGGGCGAACGCCATGCAAGCAAACTCGCCCGAATATGAAAAAAAGACTTTGAGGGCGTGATTTTCTCCACGACGTCATCAACTGATACAATGCCTGGGGCAGGACCGCGCCCCACGCAGCACCTCCCTGCGGCGGGCCGCGGGCGTTTCTGTTGCCGCGTCTTTCAGCGGCTGTGGCGGCGGCCCCGGCGACACGTGCAGGCGGATCGCGCTTCGCGCCGCCCCGCAGGGGAGATGTTGTAGGAACATTGGCTCTCTGGGGCTGGGATGCTTAAGTCGGGCCCGTCCCTCTACATGAGGAGTATTCAAAAATAGTAAAAAATAGTCAGGGGATCTTTTTCCAAAGAAAATATATATGAGTATGTTGGGGGTATTCTTTTATTGGTTGCGCCCAAAATCCGCCTGTAGGGGGACACGCCCGACCTAAGGATAGCGCGTCGCTCTGCAGCGTGGTAGGCCAGAACCAGCGGGGGCCCTTCCGCTGCCGCGTCTTTTCGCGGCCGTGGCAGCGGCCCCACCCGAGGAGGAGGAGGAGGAGGAGGAGGAGGAGGAGGAGGAGGAGGAGGAGGAGGAGGAGGAGGAGGGGGAGGGAGAGGGAGGAGGAGGGAGGAGGAGGAGGAGGGAGGAGGAGGAGGAGGGAGGAGGAGGAGGAGGAGGAGGAGGACGAGGAACAGGAGGAGCAGGAACAGGAGGAGGTGTGGCCGCGCCCTGCAGCCAGGCAACAAACCGCCGCCGCGTGCCAGCACCGGCCGGGCCGCCAGCACCACGGGCGAACCTCCCTCGAGCGCCAGCATCAGGGGCAGCGTGGCGGCCAGGAGTTGTCGCGGACAGGCAACCCGCACAGGAAGGGTGAGCGATTTTTCCAAGGGTTCCCTGGCAGCCTTGCCTCCTCGGTCCATCCCTAGCCACTTTCGCTGGCCGCGCCCCGTTCGAAGAGCCTCGGAACGGCTTCCCAGGGCCCTTGCATCCACATCGTGCATCCTTGCGATACGGGTCCACTGTAGCGTGTCGATCCACCGGTTCTGGCTCACCACGCTTCAGACAGGCCAGCCATAATTGGGGGAGCTGTGGTCCTTACCCCCCTGGGGGACCCATCGATTTCGACACCCCTCTCGAGAGATCGTCGATGCGATGGGTTCCCCCAGGGGGGTAAGGACCACAGCTCCCCCAGTTCTGGCTCACCACGCTTCGCGACGCGCCATCCTCGTCCCGGTCTCCGAGCGCAGGTGTTCCCGGCCTCTCCCTTTGCGGGGTGGGGCGAGACGCCATCCGCTTTTGCACGGCAGAGCATGTCGCCGGGGCCGCCGCCGCGACACGCTGAGCAGAAGTTCCTGACCGCAGGGGGGATAGTCTTAAGACGGGCCTGTCCCCCTACAGGGGGATTTTCGACGAAAAATTTTAAATACCCCAAAAATGGTCAAAAAATAGTCCCAAAATAGTCTGGGGACTATTCTTGGAGTATTGTTTGACCTTTCTGGGGTATTTTGGGGGTACTTTTTCTGTTTCGTCGAAAATCCCCCTGTAGGGGGACACGCCCGACATAAGGATAGTCTCAGGGGGGAGCGCATGACTCCCAATCGCCCTTTCATCGCCGACAGGGGCCCGATAGCCCACCCCGCCCAGGCATGTGCAGATTCGCCATCGGAGGCCCATCGCCCATCGCCGATCTATCGGCGATGTGTCCCCGCTTCCAGGTCGATGCTCTCTCTCCTGAGCTGGCCCCCCCTTGACGCCCTTCACAGCAGCCGAGCCCGCGCGCTGGGCGACTGCCGGTCACACGCGTCAGCAACCCGTTTTCCAGGAAGGCGCGGAGGAAGGGGGGGGGGCAGGAGGGGGGGGGAGGTGGGAGGGAGGATGATGAGTGGAGGAACGGTGGACTGCGCCGATCATTGAGAGATCTCCCCTCTTCGGTCTGGCCCCCCGTTTCATCGGCGGGTTATGCGGTTGTCCTGTTTCCCAAAAAAGTGGTTACCTCTAGGGTTTCTTATTTCTGCTTTCAGGAACTGGGCCTGTCTGCTGGTACGGCAGCTATATTGCTGCCGTCGCCGCATCGTTGCCGCCTGTTGTCTGGGCCTGTCTGCCGGTCTGGAGGCTGTGTTACTGCCGTCGCCGCCCCATCGTCGCCTCGTCGCCACCCGTCGTCTTGGCCTGTTGCCGGTCTGGCGGCCATGTTACCGCCGTCGCCGCCCCGTCGCCGCCTCGTTGCCGCCCGTCGTCTGGGTCTGTCTGCCGGTCTGGCGGCTACGTTGCCGCCGTCGCCGCCCCGTCGCCGCTTCGTCGCCGCCCGTCGTTTGGGCCTGTCTGCCAGTCTGGCGGCTACGTTGCCGCCGTCGCCGCCCCGTCGCCGCCTCGTCGCCTCCCCTTCGCCGCCCAGATGTCACATCATATATTTTCTTTTTTTAATAAACAAAAGAAGAGATGTTCGGATCTCCCCTGGTCTGAACGATATCCCTTTTCGTATAGCAGTTTATATATGCTTATACCCGATCGTCCATCTTTAGTATGAATCCGTATCATCCCAGCCAAACTGGTATCGCCCCCCCACCTCATCCCCTGCAAGAGAAATAGTATGCGCGCGCACTCGTTTATCAAAATTCACCTATGTTCAATAGTGCTTTGCAACAAATGGGACGAAGAATACACGCGCGCGTCGTTGCGCGCATGCCGAAATTCATTGAAAACCTTGGGTTGTAAGGATGACATCATCGAAACAAGAACACATGGTTTCGCAACACGAATTTTCAAACAAAGCCTGCGCCCGCGCTCGTGCGAGTTCTTATGTAAACCATATCGTTTTGTTGTTCCGTATGTTCACCACATGCTATCAAACAGGCCCCTCGCGCGCGCATGTCGGAATCGCAAGAATGCCCTTGCGCGCGTGCTGTCGCAATAATCCCTTGCAGCAAATGGGACGAAGTGCGCACGCACGCGCCGTCGCGCGCGCATGCCAGAATCGTTCAGCAACCCGAGCGTTCGTAAGGATTTCAAAACCGAGTGTCCTGGAACATACATACACACATATATATATACACACACACACGGTTTTGCAACATCTGTTTTCCAACAATTGCTTGTTGTCGCGGTCTTGCGGATTCTTAAGAAGACCATTTGTGGCTCAACCGGTTCATCCAAATTTGCCCAAAAACGTGCCTCTCGCGCCGCATGTCCGATTTATTCGAACGCCCTTGCGCGCGTGCTGGTGGGGCGGGCACATTCCGTTACAAACAATTCCGCGCGGGCAATTCGCGCGCGTCGGCCGCGCGCGCTTGGCGAACCCGTTCAAACACCCTCATAGCCGACGCGAAGACATCGTCATCGTTACCCGTCGGGCATGATTAATATCGGCGCTGTCGTTGACCTTGCCCTCGTCCTCGCCACCATCGTCACCATCATCGCTACTTTCATACTGGTGTCTATCGTTGTAGGAATCGCCATGACACTGCGCCCGCCTGAGTCAGCGAATGGCACAAGTGCCCGCTGGGAAGTGCCCAGCGGTGAGCGCCACCGCGGCTGCGTCGGTCGCGCCAAACTAGCTGGCCGCTGTGCGCGCCAGCATGCGCGGGTCAGCGCGGCTGCAGAGAAGCACCAGCCAACGCCAAGCACTCATCGCAATCGCCGCCGCATGGGCTTTGCAGATTAAGTTGCGGGTGGGTGGGTGGGATGTTTACAAGAGCGCGGAATGTGTCAATTCGTTTGTAAACACCAATTCTCGTTTCTAAAATATGAATAGATTCTACCCCCCCCGGAGTTAACGGGTCACCTTTTCGTATTGCAAGCTACATATGGTTCTGCCCCATCGCCCATCCTAAATATGAAGTCCTACTATCCCAGCCAAACCGGCATCGCCCCCCCCCGCCATCCTTTGCAAAACATTCTATGAGCGCACACCCGTTTATCAAACATCATAAGTGTTCAAGAATCCCTTGTAACAAATGAGGCGAAGTGCGCACGCGCGCGTCGTCGAGCGCGCATGCCTAATTGTTTCCAAAACCTTAGGTGCCAGAAGGATTTCAAAATCGAATTTCCAAAAAATGCAGCAGCAACAACAACAACAAATGGTTTCGCCACACTGGTTTTCTAAAACAACTTACGCGCGCGCCCTTGCGAAATCTTGCGAAAGCCATAGGGGTTTTCAAGATTCCAAACACATGCTGCCAAACGGGCTCCGCGCGCGCGCATGTCGGAATCATTCGAACGCCCTTGTGCGCGTGCCGTCGCGATAATCCTCTGCAAGAAACGGGACGAAGTGCAGACGCGGTCGTCGTCGCGCGCGCATGCCGAAATCCTTCAAAAACCCTGCGGTTTCGGGAAGATTCAAAAATCGTGTACCCAAAAAACATACAAAGCACAAGGTTTCGCAACACGGATTTTCAACAAAAACGTGCGCGCGCGCTCTTGCGTCGTCGTCGTCGTCGCCGTTCTCCCTCCTCCCTCGTCGTCGTCGTCGCCGTCGTCGTCCTCTGTCTTTCCTCGTCGTCGTCGTCGTCTTGGCGTCGTCGTCGTTTCCGTCGTCGTTGTCGCCGTGGTCGTCCTTCCTCCCTCGTCGTCTTCGTCGGCGTTTCGTCGTTGTCCCTCCTATTTCGTCGCCGTCGTCGTCGTCGTCGTCGTCGGCGGCCTCCCTCCTCCCTCGTCGTCGCCGTTTTGGTTGGCGACGTCGTCGTCGTCTTCGTCATCTTCGTCGTCGCCGTCGTCGTCGTCACCGTCGTCGTCGTCGGCGTCGTCGTCGTCGTCGGCGGCGTCGTCGTCGTCGGCGTTGTCATCGTCGTCGTCGTCAGCGTCGGCGTCGCCGTCGTCGTGGGTGTCGTCGTCGTCGTTGTCGTCGTCGTCGTCGTCGACGTTGGAGACTCGCCCGCAACGTCTACCATTTTCGACGTTGCCATGATACCGCGCCCGCCCAAGTCGCCGACTCGCAATGAAGTGCCCACTGGTATGTGCCCAACCATCAGCGCCACCGTGACCGCGTCGGTCGCACCAAACCAGCTGGCCGTTGCGCGCGCATGCTTGGGTTGGCGCGGCCGCAGAGACGCACCAGCAAACGCCGAGCATACATCGCAATCGCCACCTTATGGGTTTTGCAAACCAAGTTGCGGCTGGGTGGGTGGGATGTTTGCAAGGACGCGGGATGTGTCAACTCGTTTGTTAAAATCAATTGCACCACGTGCATTGCACCACAGAGGGTGCTCCATACATCACACAACACACATACAACTATACATGCTTGTACAGAACATGCACAACATTGGTTGCACAACATATGTCGCACCACGTAGATTGCACAGCGTAGTTTGTCCCACATATATTGCACAACGCGGATTGCTAGGGACATTTTGTTTGGGGGTTCTGCGCAGGCTAACGTGTTACGTCGCGTTGTTGGGTGTGGAAGTCTGGAGGTCCTGTGTTGTAGTGCACCAGCGACCACGACAGAGCCGCTTGGATGGTCACAGCACCCCCCCCCGTGCAGAGGCGACCTGAATCTCCTCGGCCGTTACGACGTGTGCTGCGTGAAGACTTGCGCAGACCTCGACAGGAGCGGCGCTTGTGACCTCTGGCGTCCACCGCAGGCCTCCCCCGACGGAGCGCGACCGGTACAACACGGGCCCCCCCGCAGCGTAGCAGTGGCATCCTCACCGATTTGGTCTGAGGTTCTGCTCTTCCTCCATCCGGACGGGAGAGACGCGCCACCACCACCACCACCACCACCACCACCACCACCACCACCACCACCACTACCACCACCATCACCACGGGGCCACTTCGAGCGAGGATCTCCACAATCCCTGCCCCCGCTACCTCTTGGAGATGTGTCGAGCGGGGCGCCTCAAAACTGGAGACCGCACCACCATGAGGATCGTGCCTGGCTCTTGCCCCTGGTAGTGGTGGTGCCGCGTTTCCTTGCGAATGCACTCCGTCTCCTTTCGCGGGTCATTCCCTTCATTGGAGGAGTGGCCGACGGCTGTGAGGGCGAAGAGTGGGGAGCGGCCAGATAAGAGAATGGTTCGTTGGAAAAGCACCCCCAACCCTGAGGCCTACAGATGGCGAACGGATGTGAGATTTAGGGATGGGAGTGGTCAGATGACCATCCGGACCCCTCCCCTCCTCCTCCTCCTTCTCCTCCTGCTGCTCCTCCTCCCCCTCCTCCTCCTCCTCCTCCTCCTCCTCCTCCTCCTCCTTCTCTCCTCCTCTTCCTTCTCCCCCATCCCCCTTCTTCTCCCTCTCGCCTTATTCTCCCTCTCGTCCTCGTCATCGTCATTGGCCTCTGGAGGTCTGTGGAGGCCCCTGGAGGTTCAAAATAATGACCAAAGCGTCGGGCCGAGCTGCGGCCTGGCCTGGAAGCGACCGGTTGGGACATCATCTCCAGGACAGACAGGGCGTTTGAGATTAGGAGGAGGAAGAAAAAGAGGATGAGCAGCAAGGAGGAGCAGCAGCACGGAGCACGAGAAGGCTGTTCCCCTCTCCTCTTCCCTCTGCCTTTCTCCGCCTCCTCTGTCCTCCACGTGTCCCTGGGTACGGTACCATTCGGCGGGACTGCGGAAGGAGGAGGAGGAGGAGAAGGAGGAGGAGGAGAAGGAGGAGGAGGAGGAGGAGAAGGAGGAGGAAGAGGAGGACGAGGAGGAGAAGGAGAAGGATGAGAAGCAGTGAATGAAGGAGGGAGCTGAGGAGGGTCGTGCGAAGGTGGAAGGGGGGGGCGGAGGCAGACCAGAAGGAGGGCGAGGAGAAACGTGAGGAAGGTAAGGAAGCATGCACGTTACTGGGAGTGCGCACAAGTTGTTGGGCAGGAGCTGGGGTTGTGGAGGACGATCAATCGAGAGGAAGCATGTTGCCAAATAATGTCCAG